GGCTGGAGCACCTCTCCTCTGAGGCCAGGCTGAGAGAGTTGGCATTGTTGAGCCTGGAGAAGGCTCCAGGGAGACCTTCGAGCAGCCTTCCAGTACTTCAAGGATGCCTAAAAGAAAGCTACAGAGGAACATTGGACAAGGGTGTGTAATGACAGGACAAGGGGCAATGGCTTTAAACTGGAAGAGGGGAGATTTAGATTGGATCTAAGGAAGAAATTTTTTACAATGAGGTTGGTGAAACACTGGAACACGTTACCGAGAGAAGTTGTGGCTGCCCCATCCCTGGAAGTGTTCAAGGCCAGGTTGGATGAGGCTTTGAGCAACCTGGTGTAGTGGTGGGTGTCCTTGCCCATGGCAGGGAGTTTGGAACTAGATGATCTTGAAAGTCCCTTCCAACCCATTCTCTGATTCTATGATTTGATTGCTATCAAGAGGAAGGATGCCATATTGGTTTTACTTGGTGTCCATCATAAGAACGTATGGCCTGATATTAACGAACACGTATAGATTTCGAAAACTGCTTCTTTTTGGCTTGACTCAGGATCGCACCGCAGTGCAGCACTCCTGAAATATCCGAGATGATACCGCAGCCCGCTCAGTGTGAGCCTCGGAGAGGCGGTGGTAGCTGGGATTTGCACCTGGTCGCCATCTATTATTGAACTAACGAGCCACCGAAGCGTTTAATAACCCAGCTGAGGAAATGAAACTTTCCAACGGTGAATCCACGCTGGGGCTCCTCAGAGTCACACCTGATCAGGATTGTCATCTTCCGCCTCTCTTGACCTCAGATCCAAGGTTTCCTTGTTTTTAACTCGCGAGGCTCCTGCTGAGTTGGAGACCGTTGGAAACCAAAGCAATTCTAATTTAATTAGCTACTCATTTGTATAAATGAGTTTACTTAACATGTCAATTTTCTGCATCTAGAATTGTCTTTGAGAGGGTTTCTCGGTCTTTTTAATGTCGTTTTGGTGGGAAGAGGGCTCAACTGTTGTATTACTTGCATATTAGAGGTATTATCTTGGACAACAGTCACTGCTGTGAACCATTTGCTGAAGAACTTGGAACATGCAGCTGTGCATACGGAAAATTTTCTCAGCTTCGTGTTTAGTTAAGAGCACAACAATTTGCCTGTTGCTGTTGTGAGCTAAAGGGCAAAAAGATGCACAAAGTGATCTTACTAATCATCGTTACGGCGTCTCATTAACAATATCCAGGGGGGGAACATCTGTCTCTGTGCAGAAAAGTGTGTGTTTAAGTCCAATTACTACAATTAATGAGTTACGTATGAGAAACATGATTTTTACTGCAGAAGTTATAGGATTGCAATCACGGCGTTCTCTGCATTTTACATGAGCTCTTCCCGTCACATCAAGTATTTATTTCTCCACAAGCCCATGAAAATCAAACAAGGTGCAACGCCAAGTCACTCATATAATAAAAGCCTATTTGGGTCCGTTATCTTACCAATAAACCGCGTGGATGCGATTTTCCGCGGTGGCTGTATCCTATTATTTATTCTTCACATCACGGTGATATCCCAGGATGCAATCCAGCTTCACTGTAAGAGGAATCAGAGAAATCTCTCTTTCGCAGGGCACTTGGAGTGCTACTAGAATAGAGGTATAGAATAGAATAGAAATGTAGAATAAAATAGAAATATAGACTAGACTAGACTAGACTAGACTAGACTAGACTAGACTAGAATGGAAAATCAATAATGTTGGTTGAGGAGAAGCTCCACATGAGCCGGCACCGTGTGCTGGCAGCCCAGAAAGCCAACCGTGTCCTGGGCTGCATCCAAAGCAGCGTGGGCAGCAGGGCGAGGGAGGGGATTCTGCCCCTCTGCTCTGCTCTCCTGAGAACCCCCTACAGTGCTGCATTCAGGTCTGGGGCCCTGAACACAAGAAGGACATGGAGCTGTTGGAGCGAGTCCAGAGGAGGCCACAAAGATGATCCAAGGTCTGGAGCACCTCTCCTCTGAAGCCAGGCTGAGAGAGTTGGGGTTGTTGAGCCTGGAGAACAGAAGGCTCCGGGGAGATCTTCAAGCAGCCTTCCAGTACTTCAAGGAGGCCTGCAAGAAAGCTGGAGAGGGGCTTTTGACAAGGATATGTAGCGATAGGACAAGGGGTAATGGCTTAAACTGAAAGAGGGGAGATTTCTATGAGATCTAAGGAAGAACTTTTTGACTCTGAGAGTCGTCAGACAGTGGACTAGATTTCCCAGAGAAGCTGTAGGTGCCTCATCCTTGGAATTGTTCAAGGCCAGGTTGGATGAGGCTTTGAGTAACCTGGTGTAGTGGCAGGTGTCTCTGCCTGTGGCGGGGGGGTTGGAACTGGGTGGTCTTTGATGTCCTTTCCAATCCAGACCCTTCTATGATTCTACGAAATAATGCCACAGCCATCAGCTTTAGGAGCCACAGCTGCAATTTACTTCTCTACTACGTGTAAAGTATTGGGGAAAAAAATATTGTGAAGCTACAGCTGGTGCACCAGGCAGCTGAGAGTTAGTTTACACGTGATGTAAATTCTTCGCTTTATTTTTTTAGAGTCGGGCTCTTGCATTTCTCAGTGGTCCTGTAGTGTGTAACTGCTGGGTGCGTCTTTTGAGTGACAAGGTGTCAATGTCCCCCCCAAGATGACACAGCAATCCATACTTAGCACCAACAATTGTCCCATCTCTCACGTTTTCGGGTGTTTGTTGGTGAGTCTCTCCCTCCCTGTCTCCATCTTACAGCTCTTGATTTAAGATTCATGGACAGACATTTTGGCTTTGCACGAAAACTGGGTGTGTTTCTGATGGGAGACGTGGATTTTGGAGGGAACCTGAGCGCGTCCTATGGATGGAGATATCTTCCGTGTTCCTCATCCCTGCGTCTTGGCTCCAGAGCCATGAGCGTCCTCGTACAAACTTGTCCTGTGCCTTGCCGTTGGGACACCCCTTTCTCTACACAGGTTTTGTGTCTCGAGATGCTATTTAGTGATATTAGGCGCCAGAGAGGATCTGGTGTTCCCTGCTGGTGAGGCTGGAGAGATTGGATGGTCCTTGGTAGGTGATGCCTCCTGCCTAGCAATTATTAGGAAATTTGCCTTAGACCATGAGTTGTCATCAAAGTCGTTTAATGTCATAGGATCATTAAATGGTTTGAGATGGAAAGGACCTTCAAGATCATCTACTTCCAACCCCCCTGCCATGGGCAGGGACACCTGCCACTACACCAGGTTGCTCAAAGCCTCATCCAGCCTGGCCTTGAACACTTCCAGGGATGGGGCAGCCACAACTCTTCTGGGCAACCTGTTCCAGTGCTTCACCACCCTCACAGTGAAGAAGTTCTTCCTAATATCTAATCTAAATTTCTCCCCTTTCAGTTTAAAGCCATTGCAGCTTGTTCTGTCACTACACACCCTTGTCAAAAGTCTCTCTCCAGCTTTCTTGTAGCCCCTTTAGGTACTGGAAGGCTGCTAGAAGGTCTCCCTGGAACCTTCTGTTCTCCAGGCTCAACAACCCCAACTCTCTCAGCCTGGCTTCAGAGGAGAGGTGCTCCAATCCTTGGACCGTCTTCATGGCCCTCCTCTAGACTCGCTTCAACAGCTCCATGTCCTTCTTGTGTTGAGGGCCCTAGAGCTGAACACAGAACTGCAGGGGGGGTCTCAGGAGAGCAGAGCAGAGGGGCAGAATCCCCTCCCTTGACCTGCTGCCCACACTGCTTTGGATGCAGCCCAGGACACGGTTGGCTTTCTGGGCTGCCAGTGCACATTGCCAGCTCATGGTGAGCTTCTCATCAACGAACACCAACATGTCAATAGAGATAAAGTGGATAAAAACAAATTTTAGAGGAACTAGGTGGCTGAGAAGAAGTGCCAAAGACACTCACTGGAATGAGTTTGGCCTTAGGCAGGTCGTAGGGATGTTTACGCTGTAGCTTCAGGTGGATCAGGATTACACCAGCAGCAAGTAAAGCTTGAAATTGCCCTCTCCATTTTTGACCTTGAATCTCTGATGTGTGAGATCTGTGATTTCAGTTTGACTTTGTATGGCAACTTTAATTTTAAAACTGTCCCAACATACTTAAAATCAATATCTTGGGTGCTTCTGTTTCAATGGACAACCCTTGGGTCTCCAGCCGAGACTTGCATAGAGAGGAGCGACCTTGTGCTTAGTGGATGGAGATTGTCCAGGACAGAGGTTTTATTCTTTGATGTTTTAAATTATGTTCAGGACACAAAGTATTTTTAATTTCCTCTAGGAGAGAGCTGAGACATCTCAGCTGGTGCCTCTTTAAAGGGCAGTACTTCAAAAAGCAGCACTGGTTTCAGCAGCTATTTAAAAATAAAAGTCTCTTTCTTTCAAAAAAAAAAATTATTTTGATTTTCTTTTTCCTGTCCATCCAAGCTGGGATAAAAAGTCAGAAAGAATTTTTTGGTGGGTTTTTTTTGGAGCAAGTTGAAATGCAATTTTGATTTTAGCTTATTGCGTGACCCACCTGGAGGGCTGCTGTCAGCTTGAGGGAGTTAGGAACAAAAACAGAACCGTGGAAAAAACACTATTCCACCAGCCTGACCACTGCTCTCTGCTCCTTGGTCTCCCTTTCTCCATCAAACACAACATCAAACTAACCATTCCCTGCCAGGCAGGGGCCATAGAGCCGAGATTTTCATTTATCTCCTTGGAGTACTCAGTTTGTAGGTAGTTTTCCCAGGAAAATCTGAAGTTTCTTGGGAGAACTTGCTGTTTTGGGAAAGAACACGCTTCATCAAAAAGTAACATCGACAGAAAAATACGAACCTGCTGCAGCTGCGAGTCCTCTTTTGGGAACAAAGCCCATGAAATACAGTTGAAGAGTTTTTAGGACGTGTTTATGTTGGCTCCGTTGCTCAGTTTACAACCGAAACTGCAATGGTCAAACCCAACTGCATTTTGCCTATAAGCCTAAAAATTCCCTCCTGCCATTCCCTTTTTCCTATCCACAGGTTCTCAATGCGACTTTTTGTTTCTTCTTCCAGGGCCTAACCTCCCCAAGGCTCAGGTTAAAACAGCGTCCCTTGGCTTGGCGGGCAAAGCCAGGTCACCTCTTCTTCCCGTCTCCGTGCCCACAGCCCCAGAGGTCGCAGAAGAAGGCCACAAGCAGACGGAGGACTCCGCCAACGTAAGAACCGCCTTTCTTTCCAATCCAACCTACTCACAAGCTTCATCGCCCAACCCTAACCCTCACCCATCGCTGTTGAGTTCTGTTCTCTGCTCCTTGATCTACACATTGATTTTGTAGATTTTTCCGTCCCTCCTTCCTGAAAGCGTTAACGCGGTGCCTGAGAGCTCTTAAAAAGCTCCTAAAAAAATTCCGGCAGCCGGTAAAACTTTCGTCTTGACTTTAATGGACTTGGGGATGTGTGATACAGGGGAGAAGGAAGCGCTTAAATT